ACACACACACACACACACACACACACACACACACACACACACACACAGAAAACTCCATCTACTTATCCTTATATTAAGGCTGGTATGTGTTTTTGTGAACGTATGGCATTGTATTAAGAGTAATTGTTTAACATTTCTGCTGAGTAACTGACCAGAATCTGACCTGAGTTGATAAGTGTCTTTGTGTGTGTGTGCGTGTGTTAGTGTGTAAGTGTATTCAGCTAGTGTGAGGACTCACTAGCTGAATAGGCAGAATGTGCCTAACTTTATGATGAGCCATCACATCCACTGACATATCATCAGTTGTTGTCAGTTACATTAAAAGGCCACACGTGTATCAAATTAAAAAGGATTTAGAGTTGAAAGTATTTATAGTGTTATTCTAGTCTTTGTTTCCACTCGTTCCCACAAAAATGTAGCTTTTGTCGGTTATATGCACACGCACATACCCACAGATAAACGCAATGGGCTGAGTATCTCAACAACTGATGCTTTGACATCTGGACTGGAGAAGCAGGGAATTGATCCACAGCCCTTCAGTTGGTGGATGGCCACATTATCTCCTGAGCCACAGTTTCCCCTTTACAGTGAGCCAAACGCAGCATCAAAACCAACAGCACAATCTTTCAGAAAACCGCCTTCCATAAAACACACAAACTGTTTTATTTCTACTTTTTTTGCGCTTTGTTTTGTTTTTTTACTTTACAATGAGTAAAACACGTTAAAATAACATTAGTTTTGTTGTGGGAAGTTGCAATGTTTTTCTTTAATGTGCTTGTTTTTTGTTTTTTTATCATTTGTTTGGACCTCTCGTCATATCTTTATTCTCTCAAAGAAAAACTAGTATTTTCTCTATTCCTATTAAAGGGTGTGGATTGGCAGGGAGGGAAAGTGTGGTAGAGGGAAGTGATATCGCAGTCATTTTGAGTTCAATATCCACTAGTTCTGTTATTTTCCCCTTGTACAAAAACATTTCATCCAGCTATGATACAATTAAATCATTCATGGAATCATGACTTTCATTTATTTTCCCACAATTTCTCCCAATTTATTGCATGAGCATTAAAATCCTGTTTAATTTCTATTTCTATTTGGGTTGAACGCCTCCTTTACTCTGCATAGTTCTTTACCCATGCAAAACACTAAGACTCGATGTTTTGCCACACTATGCTGTGGCATTTACATTTATGCATTTAGCAGACACTTTTAACATTTAACTAAAAACACCAGTTACACACTTACCTTACCCTGAGTGCAATATGCTAGAAGAGAATATAACATTGAGGATATAACAATCAACTATGACATAGATTACACAAGTACCATACATTGAGTTATATGCTATTAGCAAATAAGTGCATTTAGAGCTTCCACGACAAGAGATACTCTCAGAAGAGCTGGATCTTCAAGGATTTTCTTGAAAGAGGAAAGATAATCTGATGCTCTGATATTGATTATAAGGTGGTTCCACCAGTGTGGAACTGCAGATGAGAAGAGTCTAGATTGACCTGTACTGGGCGTTGGCCGTAATAGGAGGAACGGAGTGGGCGAGCGGTGACAAAGGGCTTTAAGAGGGTGTTGAGGTAGATGGTTGCAGATCTATCAAACACTCGGTAGGACAGCATCCGTTGGTATGGGTCTGTGAGTGAGTGGCATATACAAACAAAAGCACAGTTATGTATGCAATTATTCATAGATACACAAATTTTACCATCTGAAATTTTGCACATACAACACATAATATCTGCGGCATTTGGACACACACACACGTTTACTTGCACATTAAACTAATTTATTTGTTCTCTAATTCCAAACCCAAATAGAGTAATCCAGTCATCTTTGTTTGCACAGCCATGGCTAAACTTTAACTTCACTAAGTTTATTCATGCTTGAATAGAAAGTTGGCAACAAATGTGAAGAAATAAAAGTTCAAAGCTATCACCGCTGAATTTTAAATAACTGTAAGCTGTTTTTTAATTGGCTGTTAGACTTTAAGGTAAACATATTGTATTATACTCTTTTAAGCACAGTATTCCGTTTAAAAGCTTGATGATCATGTTTTCTTTTAAATCCAACTTTATTGGATTATACTTGTTGTACTTATTATTTGTCAACACGCACAGCTTGTTGGAGATCTATTTAGCAACTTCTGTTCAATTAATGATGGCGAACAAGGTTTCAACTTATTTTCCTCTCTATCTCCACGCAATATGTTCCTGTTTCTTTAACGTCAGCTTTCCCTTGCAAGTCTTATGAATAAACATTGCTCCCTGGAGGACTAAGTTCAGTAATGCAAATGAGTGACAAAACGGTAATGATATTTTATGTTATATATAAGTACATATAGTACTACAAAAAAAATAAAGCTGATAATCAAATATGTTTATTCTCTTATATATGTCGATCCTTCTTCAGTCATAATATGGATATAAAAATACTTCTTTTAACGAGAGAGAAAAAATTTATCCGGAACCTTTGAAGGGGAGCATAATAGAAAAAGGACACAGTCAAACATGGCAGACGTACCAGAGAATGCGCCGGAACGTGAGTTAAAAAACATACTTTTAAGAAATATTCTCCATTAAAAAAGGCTTGTTTGTGTTTGGACTTTTAAGAGTTTGTCGTAAGTATATTTTAGTTTTTGTTCGCTACATCTGGACGAGTGTCACTGTTCCCTTGGTGCTCGGTGATGGTGCTCCCCTGAATAACGTCGCACTTGTAAAAAATCGCGTCTCATACCGAGCGTCTTCAAACCGTGGCAGTGTTTTCCTAAATGAAACTGGGAACTTGATTCATAACTAAACTGGAAGACCTAAAAAGACCGATTTAAACCCTAAATTTGAATTTATTATTTTAATTTTTATTATTTTGAAAGAGCTCAAAATCGCCTGTTATGTTGTTATGTTCAAGGAGGCGTATACCTCAGACATACACTTTAGCCTGCGTTAACGACTAAAGTATTCAATTTCGTTAAGTGATAAAGTTGTACGCGTTTTCCTGAAAAAGTTGCTGAGTCAGGCTGACTCAGCATTCCAATTCAGGGTAGCACATAATAAAAAGAGTTGTAAATTGTCATTAGTTATGCAAGTATGAGAATCAATTATGATAATAATGATAAACTTGCTTTTTCGACTCCTTCAAATTACACAATTTTCTATTTAGTCTGCATCTCTGTGTTGAGAAAGGTTCTTAAATTAATCTTCAGCAAGCATACCTAGAGCATGATTGAGGTGCTGATTAGTCGACAGAGATTCTAAATGGACTTTTTAAACCTTTCAGACTGTCCTGGCACCACAAGTGAGCAAGCAGGAAAGTCTTCGTCATGTGAAGGCTGTCCCAACCAGAAACTGTGTGCCTCTGGAGCCACAAAAGCCCCTGACCCTGGTAATAGTGCATCCTTCTATGTCACGTTCACAATATTCTGGTATGTTTTTTTTTGTTTTTTTTAATCACCAGACACATCCCCCATTTCCCACCATCCTGTCTTAGCTATTGCAGAAATAGGAGAAAAGCTGTCATCTGTCAAACACAAGATCCTGGTGTTGTCAGGGAAAGGAGGAGTTGGAAAGAGTACCTTTAGCGCTCATCTTGCCCATGCACTGGCAAGTGATGGCACAAAGGAGGTAATTACTAGTCGCAAATTTGCCACTTTGGCAAAAGCAACATGTACTACATCACTTCTGTTTGGACTCTTTGTGGTTTGTCTTGGGGTAGCCACTACAGGTGGGTGACAGATTAAAGAACTAACAGCTAAGTCTTTTAGAGCTAATAAAACTGTACTGTGTTATCTTAAAGTTGTGATCACCAAGAATGACTTTTTTTCTGTGATCCCTCTTTTTTAAAGAGAAAAAGATTGTACTAGCGCAGCTTGTTGTGGCTTTAACCTGTCTGTCCTGTAGTTGGTAACTAAAACCACTAGAGGTCACTTTTGAAACGGTGTGCTAAAGGAAGCTGTGTGCAATTGATCCAAATCTATTTGCATAAAAACTATTTTTAGCTTATCTAAATGCTGTATCAAAACTTTGTTTTTTTATTCAAATGAATTTTCAGCCCTCTTCATTAATGAATATATGTAAAGATTGAAAGTTAAGGGGAAAAACGTTACATCTGATAATGGAAAAGAAGTGGGACCACACTCTGATCGGGGCTGCAGGGGGAACCATTAGGGTGTCATTTGCCACCGCATCAGTATTGTTGGTTGTACTTTTATCAAACGACTTGTTGTATCCATATTAAAACAGGTCGTTGACTTTTAAGCAGAAGGGGCCACAATTTGTGAATATCATTGCTTATATGGGAATTAAACGTCAGCCTTTATCCTGCTTTCCTAACTTCCGCTCTGTTTTCAGGTAGCCTTGCTGGATGTAGACATCTGTGGTCCATCTATTCCCAGGATAATGGGCTTAGAGGGAGAGCAGGTCAGAGACATTAACAGACCCCCCTTATCCTACATTGCTCCTAGTTTGCACCCCCACTCTACCCCATGCTGCTCTGTATTCTCTGTAGGTGTTTTTATCTTCTGTTTCCTGGTTTAGGTTCACCAGAGCGGCTCTGGCTGGTCTCCTGTGGTGAGTCACTTCAGTCGGCCTTTAATGTCTGATTTGGTTAGTTTTGAATATTCAGATTTCATCACAAGCTTTTAAATGGGTGTGTCCGTTGCAGTACGTGGAAGACAACCTGGCAGTCATGTCCATTGGCTTCCTGCTTAGCAGCCCTGATGATGCTGTGATCTGGAGAGGACCTAAGAAGAATGGTCCGTTTGTGTGTGTGTGTGTGTTTTTCTTTTCATGTCAATACTCTACAACCCATGTTGTGTTCATCTCCAATCAGGGATGATAAAGCAGTTTTTAAGAGATGTAGACTGGGGCGAGCTGGACTACCTTATAGTGGACACTCCACCCGGAACCTCAGACGAGCACCTGTCGGTTGTGCAGTACCTGAGCTCCACCCATGTCGATGGAGCAGTCATCATCACCACTCCACAGGTACACCAACATTTCTACAGAGATGAATGGGGTGTGTTTCATAACCTGTTCGCAGAAGCACAAAGCAAGTAAATGAGTGTGCACAGACCCTTTCTATCACTAATAACAGAAACTGTTGGGGGAAAGCCCACATGTGTACCGACCCTCGCTTGCTCTTCCTCCTCCTCCTTTCACTAAATGACTTTAACCCCATTAGGTTTTCCATTCTGATAAGAGATTACACGCAACTTTAGTAATTGTAGGAGTGACACGTAAACCACAGCAGTAGCAGGTGGGAGCCACTGGCGGGGGTGGGGAGCACTGAAAAGCACAAAAGATCCCGCTGTGTTCAGAGTGCAGCAGCTGCAAGAGAGGCGGTTTGTGGTGATGCTGTTTAGGCTTTGAACTGCTCCTCACAGGGACAGTGGCATGAGTACCTTTTCCGTTTAGAGTCACTAAGCTAAAGTACACATTATAAATCGGGAATGGTCGTGACTGAAAACCTTCATTGGTAAATTTTGAGTTGCTGAAAGAAATAAAGAAATCCCAATTGTATCCGGTTAGAAGATGCCGTGTCATCATAAATTAGTAACACCCTGCAAAAAATGAGACCCTGTTAAAACAGTGAATAATGAAGTATCAGGAGCATGAGACTGTGGTGAGTTCATGTTAGTGGCATGCAAGCAAAGAGCACAGCCCTGTCCCGCTCCAATGCCTGTCTGTGAATTCTGGTTTGGTAAGGCATCTCTGGCACAGAATGTTCATGAGGGGGGGGGGTCTTCAAACATTTGAGCTCTTCACATTATGTCTGCAGGATTCTCAGCCCATTCTGTATTGATTTATCTAGTCACGACCTGGTTGCTAATGCACCCTGGAAATAAATCTTCAGCCCATAAAGGAGTCAGTCTGTGAGAAACTATTTCCAAACTATCTTTAAGTGAGCCTCCCTCCCCTGCACAGATTAAAACACAACATGAACACTTCCTCATTCCTCCATCACTAAGCAGACACCCAGCTGGAATTACCCGGATAAACTAAACATTTGTCCAGTGTTAGTTATCTCAGAAGTATCAAACATTTCACAGAAAAAACATTATTTTTTTTCCGCATTCCCGCCACCCCTGTCCTTTGTGCGGCAGGAGGTGTCGCTGCAGGACGTGCGGAAGGAGATCAGGTTCTGTCAGAAGGTGAAGCTGCCCATCATCGGAGTTGTGGAGAACATGAGCGGCTTCGTCTGCCCCAAATGCAAGGTGAGGGCAGAAAAACTGAGAGCAAGCTGTCAGGCGGCTGAGTTCAACAAGGACAGCTAAGAGGCAGTGTTTTCAGGTCGACCTGTAAAAGGGCCATCTCCTTACATTTTTGGAATGGCTCTAGTGTACATCACCGGGGACTGGCCATTTTAAAGCGCTTAATTCTTAGTCAAATCCACCTGTGTGTAATAGAAGAGCAGCTGTGATACAAATGTGTAATAACTGTCTGTTTCTCCTTGCCCTATCTTGTAGAACACATCGCAGATCTTCCCTCCAACCAGCGGGGGTGCGGAGAAAATGTGCGCGGACCTGAATCTGCCTCTGTTGGGCAAGGTGCCTTTAGACCCGAGGATAGCCCGGAGCTGCGATGAGGGCAAGTCTTTCCTCAGCGAAGTGCCCGACTCTCCTGCTGCTGAAGCATACCAGAGAATCGTGCAGAGTAAGTCATGCCCATTACCCTTTCTCTTTCTTACATAACATTGCGTCCTTTCCTTGGGACGGAACCTGGCCTCGCAAAGACACTTTTCCAATGAAGTGATTTCATATTTTTGATGACGGGTTCATTTAGTCCACGGCCCAATTCCTTATTAAACATAATGAAAGAAGAAGCAGACACTTTTGAAAGTGGGAAGCGGTCAGCTGAAGAGGAAGAAGCGTTGCCTGATCATTTTATTTTCACTGTTTCATTAAAGCTTTGGCGCGGATGGGCCTGGGATTTTTGCGAGTGAGGATTGTCCCTAAACGCACACACATGTAGGAATCTGTAACTCGTGTCCTCTCTCCTCCCTCAGGCATCCAGGAGTACTGTTCCAACAGAGCGACAGAGGAGCAGAGCACAACCTGACCGCATCAGACGGCAGCCCCATTTGACCCTGAGAATGTGGTAGAAACTGAACAACAAGCACACGTAGGGCCACAGATTTGTTATTCCTGTCAGATATTAGTGTAGTGAGTGGATACGACCTCGCAACAGGTCCTCTGCCACACAACAACCCAGACCAAAAGCCGGTGAATGCACAATAATGATCAGTGGTCATTCATTTCTTATAAATATGAATGGAATTGTAAAGAAATTTTTGTTCTTTTCCGAAAAATCTTTTCCAAAACAGCATGGCAATGTTTGACCAGGACAAGACCGGTATGTTTAGAAATGCCACAAGTTGGATTTTTTTTCCAGCGAATTAAAACATTTTCTAAAGCAGCAGGTTTTTTATGTAAAGGGCACAATGGCGGGCGGTTCAAGTTATATGGTTGGATAATGCCCTGCAGAGACCAAGTTCTTGTTTTTGGGTTTTCCGCTAGTTTTTTTAATCTGAATGCCATTAAGCAATGGGGAATATAAAGCATATCTATATGAATACATGGAAAGTACATGCTGTGGACACTGTTCCTTTAGTTGTTTTTTTGTTTGCTACTATGATTTTTTTTTTTTATGATAAAAGCAGAAGCTCACAGGATTTAAGATTTTCTTTATGCAAGTTAAATAGTGGCAGTCGCTCACTGTTTGGATCTCAACCTGATGGACTGCTCTGGCTCCACTAAGCGAGACGGCTTTTGGTAGAATGTGGTCGGGAATCTGTGAGGCTGAGCCAAGAGTTGTATGTAACATTTACATTTAGTTCTGACTGGATTTACAGTAGATAACGGCAGCATATACATCATGTGTAAAGGTAGAGATTCCAATTACCTACCAATCGAAAAAAAAGAGTTTTTATGTTCTTGCTTAAGTTGTACTAAAATAAAAAGGGGCCAATAGAATGACCTAAGAAATCTGGAGGTGTGTTAAGATTGAACTTTTTTTATAATTAGTTTTCTTCTGTGCAAGCTCTCTCTGTGTACGTCAGCTTGTTTGTGCGTGAAAAGGGAGACTGTGTTTTTGCTGCCGGACATAGTTCTTCGAGCCTTCTCTGAAAAGCACATGTGAAACTGTATCTGCATCCTGCTACCAAACGTCTCCCAGCTGCTGAGCATACTGTAAGTATGTTGACAAAGTCCACACTAGTCCCACTGTTTGTCATCCATAGTCTGTGCGTGGCAGTTTTGAACCGTTTCAGCCTGCTCAAGAAGTCCAAAGTTTTAATTTAACCACTACAAAAAAAGGATAAAATCAATAAGTATTTCCACCCCGTCAGGCGAGTTTTCTGAAGGTCTGGGCTGGTGATTGTGTCCATGTGAACAGGAGCATTAGTCACATGTTCAGAAGGCGTTCCGTGGCTAATAGACTGACAGCAAAATGAGAAACAAGATCCACCTGTGCCGTGAACTGTTTATTTTCAGTCCCATCACTGATCAGTTCAGCTTCCTGGTTGCACCCGGGGCCTTGGTTTTGACTGTGGGCACCAGTTGACACAACATGAACCAAAATGATCTTTCCAAAAGTCCTCGGCAACAAGCACCGCGGCAACTCTGCATATTTTTAATTAACTTTGCAAATAAAGTGCAAAGTACAACTTATAAAACAGGTTTCCATGATAAGGTTTCGGCACATGGCACACTGTGTTGGTATGCAGCGGTTTGCTGAACCAGTTCTAAACCAGGAAAGAGGTTTTACAGTTGAAACCAGTCCGCGTGCTCTCCCAGTCTGAAGAAAAAATCATGAGCAGGTAAGATGGAGAGAGCAGTGAGTTTTTGTTTTTTTGGGGATATGAGCAAAGTGTTTTCTCTCATCTCTTACGGCTCTATGAACAGATAAGTATTAAAAGAATAGGTGATTCTGTCTGGGTTTGTTTTGAACCATTTAAATCAGTTTCATGCACTGAGCCACTGCTGAGTTATCAGTGCCATTTGTTATTTTAGAATATTTATATTCTGTGGATTAAAAAAACAATCTGAAAAAAATATTTATAACTTATTGGAAGGATTCACGTAACACTGTGTGGAAGCATGAAAGAGAAACAAGGCTTTGTATCAATTATTCTCAGACATAACCCTTACATTCACTTCCCATTGGAAATATTAATGGTGATGATAAAGCCACCTCCTGTCTGTTTCACATCCAATCCCACGGTTATTAAACCACACTGCCCTGTCAGTGGGAACGCCTCTCAGACTAAAACAAAAAAAGAGAGACAGATAAGATGTAACTCAGATTCAGTCACATCTTTTTTTTTTAAAGTTTTTTTAGCAACAGCTTAACACCATGGCTCAGTTTTCAGGGGTTCTGGAACAAAAGCGGGGGATTTTGACCCTGGCCTCCCCGGCCGAGGTCCAGGCTCTGCCGGAGGGTTCGGTGGAGGTGTGGATGACCTCGGACAGCAACATTCTGCATCTACGTTTGCTTAAAGAGGGGCTTTCAACTGAACTAATTCGCAGGGAAACGAGTACAGGCGGCGGTCACAAGACGGACGGTGGGTTATCTTATGGAGGAACAACCACGGCCCTGCTCCTCCACCACGGACTGATCCGGCAGACTGTGGATGACCACGAGCTGGAAGAATCTTCTCGTGTCTCATTGAGGGGTGAAGGTAATGGCACACGGTCAAGGTGGCAGATGACTCCACAAGATTTATACACAAAAAATCAAAGAAAAAGTCAAGAATTAAGTCAGGGAACGGCGAACGATAAACATTTCCTCAATCAAAAGGTCTTTTCTGTACCCGCATCTCTCCACCAAACCACTGTCAGACTCGGGGACGGAATGGCAGAAAGGCCAAGTGGTGCAATGCCATCGCAGGGCCCTGTAAGTGATAGTGAAAGGGTGAATAATAAGGGGAATTCTGAGAATGAGAAGGAGTGGTTAGGGCAGGTTGAGGAAAAGGCAAAAACGAGAGCTGTTCCTCCATCGCAGCGCTGGGACAGCAGACGGGGGAAGTTGCCTCTGGTTCCCCGGGTGGCTGCGGGAGGCTCAGCGGGGGACAACATGGTGACGCTCCGGGCAGCGCAGCGGTCTGTTCTGGATATGGAAGAGGAAATGGAGCTGGCAGCCGCTTGCAGGACACTTTACACTCAGATTGGCACATCTGAGGGCATAGAGTCAGAGGTCATGGACACAAGCTTCACACACACAGCACGGGCGGACCGTAATGGCGCAGAGGGGCTTTATTTCTCCACGCTGGACACCTCTACCATGACCAAAATGAACCTGGATGGTTTGGGATTGTTGGGAGCAGCAGGAAACGGCTGTGTTCAGATGCTGGAGGAGCACCAGAATGGCAGGACCACTGATACACCAGCAGACCTGCTCAGTTCTCCAGCAGACACACGGCGCGGGCCGCTCTCTGAGCCCTTAGAAAACGACTTCACGCATTTCAATTTATTAAGTAGGGCCAAAGACGCTGAAACCTCTGTGCAATTCAGCTGTTCTCGCCCAAACACACATTACAGCCCAACAGACGGATGTACCGGTAACACTGAAGATGTCTGCAGGGAAGCATGGCGGAGAGCCGCGTCCGGCGAAGACACACTCCCACAAGTCTTTGATTCACCCCTTGGTAAGTTCATTCATCATCAGATTATGCTAAATTTGAATTCCCTTTTCTCATTAAGTAAAATTCAAGTTTCACAGGTGTATTCTGTCACTAAATAGTTTAGTCTGTCAGATACTGCAACTGCATTACATTTTCTCCTCACTGGAGCTTAATGAAAATAAATAAATAAAAGGGAGTCAGGTTCATTTAAAAAAATCACCATTAGAATATTAGAATATATTAAGATTTAATTTTGGACTAAACTATCTTGTGATATTCAGAGTTTTTTTTTTCATGTTTTTTTTCTACACATGTGTTTCTGTGAACTCATTTTGTAAACTCCAGCATTTACAGGAATACCTTCAAAGCCTACATTTCAGGTGTAGATGGGTGTTACCAGCCTGGCTAAAATACAGTTGGGTTTTGTTTGGGTTGCCTGGGTGCTTTCCTCCCGCTTTTTTCTTTTTTTCTTTTGAAGCACTGAGCTGCCAGCCTTGTTCGAACTTGTTTGGTCAATGCCTTGTGGTGATGTTTTTGATTTCACTTTCATTACTGAATTGGTGCAGCCTAACCTCATGGTTGCCCTCCTTTAACAAACACAGCTCAATCCCAAACCTCTCTCCTAAAACCTAGAATCTGGCTGCTGTTCAGTCTCAGTTCTCTCCTCGTGGAACAGAGACATTGGAGTTTTGGCAGAGCGTCAGTGCCTGTAATATTTAACTCTGTGGTTGTTGAACATTGCCAAGTAACAAGCGGTGGATTGCCAGTTTCAGGGTGTGGTCTGTCTGCCTCTGTTTAGAAGTGAGTGTTATACTATTATCTATTGACCAGCCTTAATATTTGCTCAAGTGTTTCCTGGTGTCATTGTGAGAACAGCTTCAAAGTCCTGGAAATCTAAACTGTTTCAGCCGGTCCCCGACATTGCTCTGTATTTCTTCTACAAAACTGAGATCAAATGATTACAGTCATGAAGAAAATTGTTAAGTGTGGGAATTTACACCTATTGCAGAGGGGTAAACTTATAAATCTCAAGACCGGGTTACGTAATGTTTACGGAAACGTGCCATGATAAACAGAAATACAGGTAGAGCAGGTGCTTTCCACTCTCTGAATTGAAGATTGATTGTTCCTGTTTCTTAGTGACTTATTCATTGTCCTTTTAAAGGCAGATGAAATTTCAGTGCCCTGTCATCAGCCATTTATTTTCAAAAGACGTGGCACCATGGGCTTTTGAAAGAGAGTTGGGATTTTTTTAGAAATTTGCAAATTGCAATATTGAATGGCAGATAAAACCGAGACATTTAAAGATATATTTCTTTAGTTTCTGGTCTTGTTTTAAATGTGGCTTTGTATATTTGGGTCATATTGCAGCAGCAAAATAAATGCTTAAGTCGGGACAGAATTTAAAGCAGAAAAGAATCACACTCTTATGATTATTCTTTGACAACACTTCACTCCAGCTCGGTGCTCTATCAGGTCCTGAGTTTAAATGTTAGCCCTTATTTTTACTTCCCCCATTGCCAACAAGGCCAAACCAGCTACCAATGGAATTGTAAAATATGTCAAATTCAAAGCAAAAAGACTCCAAAGTCACTTGTCATATGGTGTAAAGATGCTTTCCAGCTTTAGACATTCAGGGTTGCTGAAAGTTCAAGGGATGTGTCCCAACTTTTGTCTGACATGAAGATGAGTTGATGCGGTTGAATTTAAGATGTGATGTTTTTTGTTAAAAAAGAAAAGATCCACAAGCCTGCTTTTCAGTATTCTATGTCTCCACTCTAATGTTAGTAGAATGTAGTTGTATGGGATTTGACAAATCTTCACACGCCATCCCAATCTGTTCAGAAGATCTGTACTGTAATGATGAGAGGAGAAGTAAAAGTACCATCCACCTGCCATTCTGAGGTGTGGACTTCCTCACATTTTAGGTTGTTCTGGATAGCTTCAATTCATCATTTTTGGGTTTTAGATTTCATTTAATTATCTCCCTACAGATTGAATTTGAATCACCCGTTCTAAGGGAGACGTTTGTTTAAAGTGCAAATTTCTATGGAAAAAAGAGAGAAAGCCACCACCTCTGGGACAATAACAGAAACTTTCATTTAGTTACAGAAATAGTTGACCATTTTTAACTGCCCTGCGCAAACCAAACCCAGCTTGGCGTCTATGGCAAAGTGAAAGTAAAAGCATGTTATAGTGTCGGATGGCGCAGACTGCGCGTAAAGGCTGACTGAGACCAGGTCATATTAGGACACGCTGTGTGCAGACTTTAATGTATATTGCTGTTGCTGGAATTAACTGCACAGGGAGTGAAAGACTCAGCATCCCTTCCGGTGAGGCTTAACAGGTAAACATTTTCCATCTTTGAACAAGTTGCCAGCATAAACCCAACGAGCGCAGGGCGACTGTGGGGCTTTATGCGTCCATCTACTTTTCCTGCGGGTGGAGGAGCTTTATGTGGATATATACATCGTTTATAGAAATTGGCCAACGTATTTAAAAAGAAAAAAAAAAGTTTTCAGATTATTTTCAAAGGCTTTTTAAAATGTTGTGAATCGCACACTTTTTTTTTTTAACAGAATGCTTAAGCAAATAATCATTTTAGTTATGTCTTATGGTTTACTTTCTATATAATCGTCACATTAGGGATTTTTTTAAAGAGTAAGTTAACGATGAAAACCACCGAAAGTACAGCGAACGGCCTCTATTACGCGTGTGCGTCTGTAGGTAAGCGCACCATCTTTTTGATCAAATTACGCACCGGCTAATCTAATGGTTAGGCTAAGGATGAGAACCCTGAGGTGCAACAAAGGGGATTTCAGATTTCACTTTTTCGCTGCCAACTGTAAACGGTGGGCCAAGTAGTAGTCTGTGGGCATATGTATCACTGTGCGCAAAAGTAGCAAATACAAAGAATTGATCTAATTCAGGATCAGGTTCCTGTTGTGGTAAAGACTTTTTCGTCTTTGTTTGACGCTCTTTAGCCCGATGAGGCTGTCTTGTGGCATTTCCTTTGTGTGGCTTTGTGTGGCTTTGGATAGCTTTGTGTATTTTTTATCTCTAAGCTGTACTGTAAATGGGTAACAGGAATGTGTATCTCCATTAATGGCATAAGGAAATCACATAACACTTGAAGAATCTATATTGAAAGTAAAAAGTCCATTATCAAGTTGAATTTAGTTTGTTTAAAGTATTAAACATGATCACATGCTCACATGAATCCTGAAGTTCGACCAGGATTCCTGGTTTGAATTAAGCTAATCTGGCCTTCTGCCGTCTTGTTCAGTTTTTCCTAAAAGCACTTCAGCCCTTAGTTTGAGCATACACGGCCGTGTGTTTTGTTTTTCTTTGTGTGTCCCTGTGATAGATTGGCTATGTTTTCACAGTGCACCTCACTGAATCTTCTAAATGAATGATGATGATTGTATACCACTTGGGATAGAATCTAGCCCCTGACTCGTGGCTATCTACTTTTAAGGCTCTGAAAACTTTAAAATCTTACTCTAAGACAATGTTTGCAGTGTGTATGAGGGGATGAATCTCCTAAACTAATGATGATGGACTGTCGTACAGGTTCTCAGAATTGACCTCTGAAATGGCAGACAACAGGTTTTTGTTCACTGGATCAATGTAGAATCACCTTCACAGGGATTTTTATTTCTACTTGCTCGTAGTTGATGACATGCCTACTTTCTCAACTAGGATAATAAAGTCAGCTTTGTACAACTGACAACACTGGCCAGGTTAGGTATTCTTTTGTGGACATTTGTGGACAGCTTTTCAAAATAATTTCAACATTTTCAAATTGTTATTCAAATTGTCCCATTCCACTGGTATACCAGGTCAAGTTCTTGTGTACATTTGGTCAATAAAGCGAATTCTGATTTCTGATTTCTGATTCTGATCAACATATCTGATGCTACCTTGTGCAAGCATGTTGGCTGCCTAACTTTTTCCATACTTTGATTGCCTTATAAAACACATGGGTGTGTTTTTGTTAAGCATTGCTTCACCTTAAAACTACAATGAGTGGCACAGTTTGAAGGTTTTTCTAAAGAGGGACATGAAAACCAGTGCATGGGTGGTCTTGTTTCTCTGAAATGTTCCAAACAGTAACCGAGAAAACCATGCAAACCTATATTTAATTCTTCACAAGACATTATACTTACTTTTACTTTTATCAACTAGATACATGAAATAACGTTACTTTTATCAACCAGACACAGGGAATTAGGTGGTCTGATTTATCAGAGTCAATGTGCCCTATACACTAGAAGAGGCAGCAGAAACAAGTTCTCCTTTGCATGCCCATGTAAATGTGCATTTGGACAAAAAAAATAGATCAAACCTATCTTCTCTGTATGGACCTTTGGCATCAAGAGGGAGTTATGCTGCAGTGAAATGTTACTTAATTACACTGTTGCCAGGGCAGCCATTTAGTTTTTGTTCCACATGTCTGATATGCTCCCCTTAGACAGGAGTGCATACAAACAAGTGATACTTTCACTTAAAATAGGTTCATGGTTCTGTCATCATACTAGCAAACCATGACACGCTTTAGCCTTCATCCAGTTGGATGGTTGTTAAAGGTTTGTTTGTAAGGGTTATGTTGTTAGCAGTGGCTTTGAAAAGCTTATCAGAAAGTTAGGGCAGAGAGAGACAGTATCTAGTAGTACTGCTCAACCAGTTGAGCTAGCCTATAAGATACAGTTATAAGTTATCCCCATTCCCTATGAATTAGTATTAACCTTGTGTGCATTCTTTATTTTGTCTCATTAGATGCCAAAATGCAAGAGGTGGAACAAGACCCTTTTCCCTTTGACTTTAATCTACCAGGTAAGTGTTTTCCTGAAAGGTTATTCCTATTGTAAAGAAAAAGGACTCCTGTTGGATTTGTGTAAAAAATGTCAACAAAATATGATTGTCGTACAAAAATAAATAAGTAAACAAATGAATGCACACCGTTTCCATGTCCACAAAACACACAATGGACTGGTTGAGCGAACTTCTATGCACCCTCTGGGACCCTGCCGAGGGTATAGAGCTGGTCCAGCATTCCTCGGCCAGGATGAATGCCACACGGCTCCACCTGAGTCCGAGGTTTGACTATCCGACAGACCCTCCTCTCCAAAACCGCTAAAAAGACCTTCCCAGGGAGGCTTAACAGTGTGATTCCCCTGTTGTTGGAACACACTCTACGGTCCCCCTTTTTAAATAGGGGGAACTGCCCCTGATATCCATGCGATGTTCCCGAGTCACGTCAGCCAACGCAACCCTACAACATCCAGAGCCCTGAGGAACTCCGGGTTTGGAGAACCTGATCCCAGATCCCCAGGCTCTGCTCCTCCAATAGAAGACGTGCTAGTGGGATTGAGAAGATCCCCCTCTTCACCTGAGTGTCCAAGACATGCAGCCGCAGATCAGATATAACGACAACAAAGTCAAATTTTGAGCTGCGGCTTAGGGTGTCCTTGTGCCAAAATCCAATAATAAAACACCACCAGCTGGGGAGCATTGAAGTTCCCTAGTAGAACAAGGTAGTCCCCAGGAGCGTCACCCTCCAGCACCCCCTCTAAGGACTCGAAAAAGGGTTGGTAATCTGGACTGTTGTTAGGGGCACAGGCACAAACAACAGTCAGCACCCATCCCGGTGAAGAGTGTCCAACCCGTCCTAAGAAGACTGGTTCCAGAGCCAGAGCTGTGCATCGAGGCGAGACTGACCATATCTAACCGGAATCTAAAGACCCCTAATGATGAAAAAAACAAATGGACCAAATGGACCCTCTTCCAGATGTGGGCCACCGGGGCCCCACTCTGGCACGTTGGCAATCACCTGGAGGCCAGGCTTTCACCCATAGAGCCTGACCGGTCCCAGCCCGAAGTGGTCACATGGGTCCCCCTTCCAATGGGCTTACTACCCATGGGAGGGGCCAAAGGGGTCGGTTGCTGTGTGGAACAGGTGGCTGCCGGAGACCGGGACCTGAGCGGACCAATCCCCAGCTACAGAAGCTGCTTGTTAAAATAAAACCTTAAGAAATAAGAAAACAATCTGTTGCAAATGTATTAAAGGATGTTATTTTATCTGTTTTCAGAGGATCTATCGGAATACTTGGACGATGATTTCATCGGTAAGTTATGAATAAACATCTAGAAAACCGTTAGTTGACCTGCAGTAACAAATCCACCCAAATTCAAAGCCATTCCATTGTCTTATTTTCTGTTTGCCTAGATCCAACTGTTCTCCTTGATTGTTTTGGGTTAAATTCTACAGAAGAACCAAAGGCCCAAAGTAAGAATGTCTTTTTGTTCGTTTACTGACCTCATAACATATTAAGGGATAAAACATCTCCCTAAATAGAGTTTAAATAAATATATTTTTCTGAACAAGGAATTACCAATGAGAGAAGTGTGGTATTTTTTGCTTATTTATTTGGTGTTTCCTGGGTTATGGGTCACATTTATACACTGCATTTTATCACTTCCCTTTTATATATATTTTTAAGGATGTCTAGAAAATCTACCTTAGTATGAAAAGCGTGACTATTTCTAGTCACTTTATATGCTAGCTGCTTCACTAACTCCTCAACTTCCTCTTCATCAGGTGATGTTTCCATGGCAATAGAGGCCCCGTGTCTGATCAATTGCCATAAACAACTGATGGGCCCAACGAAAAAAAGAAATCAAAGGCAGAGAGGTAAACCAGAGTCATGTCAAATTAAGTTTAAAGTCCAAAAGCACTGCAATGTCTAAAATCAATTTGTTCCTGTTCAGATCCTCAGTCTCAGCGGTGTGCAGATAAAAACACCAGAGCAAAGAGGCAGAGAACAACAGGTAACAAATCCAATTTTTTTGTCTAACTATTCATATGTATGAGACAGTTAACAGCATAATCTCCACATTCCCATTTATCAATATCCAGTGTTTGATAGTGGTTATACGTCTTTTATGACATTCCAGAGTCCAATTGAATTTGATAACAACATATTTTAATTATGAGCATAAAGGGAGCCTTAGATCATAGCTTTACAGCGATTAAATTATCATAAAGATATAACTGTGGCTTTGCATGTGTATTAGTATCATTTCGCGCAGCCACTGGTGCCGATGTGATCCAGTATGACTAATAATATCAGACTTTTTAATATGTGGACTCAGCTGTGTGAGTCTGGCTCAGAAGTACAAATGGTACGAACAGTGGCTCTTTGATTTTTGCAGCTCAACCAAAAACCCAAGAGGTCCATGACGAGCTAGTTGTTCATGGTAAGTGTCTGTGACTGGTGATTGGAACTGCTTTTGTTGTCTGGAGACCATGGACTAAAATACACAAAATACATGATTATGATATCAGGTGCGGCACCATGGATGAAAACCCCATTTCGTTTTTGGATGGCTCAATAAACAGGAAAATGTCAAAGATTATTTACTGGGGTTGGGAGGGACAGAAAAATAAATGTTCTCTCCATAACTCTTTCCTGCTCCTTTACATTGAGCCTTAAGCATGTTCAATAGTGTTATTAAAGTAATAATAGTAGTTAGTCCATATTCTACCTGGATACAGGTTTTTCTATGTTCAACCAACAATGCCTGTCATGGTATAAGTTTTAAATGCTCCAATGCATTTTTTCTTTTTTTTTCTTTCTTTTTTGCAGTTCTGTGCACATTGCAGTGTACATCAGCACTGCATTATTTGACATAGCAGGCATTTGACATGATGTTGAAATATGTAGACTTGTAATGGTTAGGCTCTGGTTCATGCTTTGTTTAGGTCCGTTGGTGGTTAACATTGTAGACTGTGAATAAGGAAGTGTCATTATAAATATGTCATCTGTCACAATGATAAATGAAATGAAATGAAGAACTCTCATTTCACTTAATGAGAGTTCTTCCTCTATATTTCTCTATATTTCCTCTATATTTGTTTCTAAGTTATAGGTTTCTAAAATGACACATTATTTTGGCCGTTTTCTTCAGTTGCTGCGTGTCACGTCTTAATAGAATGACCAGAGAAGCTAAAAATGTTATGCTTTGTTTAAGGCGTGCATAAGTTGAAATGTTATACTTTGTGTATGTCTCACTCTCTGCAGCTGGTACGCTGCTATTTTCACTTCCTTGATTTTTTTCACATCTGTACCGTATGCTGGTCTGTTTTTCTTTTTCTCTTTTAAGTAAAGATTTAACATGAGCTATTTCCAGTAAAATGGTGTTGCTTCTGGCTGTTTTACAGGGACTGACCCAGGATTAGGGCCAGCTCCAACACAAACTACGCAAGGCTTCTCCACGACTCCACCGAGAATCCTACATGTTTTCCCGTCCCAGGCAGCTTCTCCCATTCCCATACAGTTCATCACCATCCCAGACTCCTCAGGGTACCAGGTGGTGCAGCTGCCTTCTCCTCCACCTTTTATTAGGCTTCCACTAGCCAACACTGCTGCTTCGCCCACATACATAATAGGTGAGTTCACGTATAGAGAAACAAAAACAGGAAGTCCTGTCTGAAAAGTTTACATTGTTCACTTGGATATCATTGCTGCAAAGTTGTTGAGTTTGCAGCTTTTCATACCAAACTTTGGTAGAAAGTTTAATCTGATATTGTGGGCATCCACGCTTGGTCATTTTTCATATGGTTGCTCCTTCAATGGATTATATATGAAATGCCCAAATGAAATAGACACCCATTCGAACTTTCTTAGACCTCAGCCCTGATTTCTTGGGGTGAGGGTGTTTATTTATTTATTGCATAGTTGTAAGTGTAACTAGTGCCAAACATCCAGCTCAATTTCCCACGTTATGAAATATTTTCTGAAATCTGTCTAAACTGCAACCTTTTTTCTGCTGCAGTTCCTGCTGCCTCACCACCCCGCAAACAACAAGTTCCCCCACTCTCCCCAGGTGTGGAAAGAGCCATTGTTTGTGTGTTGCTCATTGTCTGCTTCATTTGCATGCCTGTACAGATGTTGTTTTTCTCTCGTGTTTGTAGTGGACGGTGCAGTAGCACCAGTCCTGATGAGTTCCTCCCCACCGGGTTCTCTATCGGACACGGCCAGTAAAGCCATGTGTCCCCCTTGTGCTTCACCTCTTTCCCCCAGTAATGGTGAGCATCCCTTTCTTTGGCTTTTCCTGTTTCTTGAAGGGACATATGACTGGTATATGAAAAAGGGATTTTGTCACATTTCAGAGATGTCCCTGTGGAAGGATCCACCTCAGTCTCCTGCTGTACTCGATATTCCACGTATGTCACCTGTTTTTAAGACTCTCTGTTATTCCGACTGAGATTCCCTCAAAATACAGCTCACGTTCTGTGGTGGAGCAGATGTAAATTAACTTTTGCTTGTCTTTTAGAGGGTGTGAAGGACTACATTCAGGAAGCCAAAGAACACATGTGCCGAACCTGTCGGGACATGGAGGCTGGACTGAGCCTGACCTCTCATTACGTAGATGTTCGAGTAAGCCAGAGAGAGATCGTTCGCTCAGGGAAAAATCCCAACAAATGTCTTGAGAAGGAACTGGTCATAACTGGAGATATGGACCGGCAAAAAAGCTCACTTGCACACAGTCAAGTAAGAATCTCACTTACAGAGCGTCATCTTTTACAGCTCTATGCCGTCAAACACATTTCTGATGTAGAAGAGCAGCTGAATATGCTGAATTGTTCATATCAATGACACCATTGACTTGTATTTTGATCATTTTCTTTTCAGATCTTTGAAAGGACAAATGAGAACAAGTCCAAACGCTATATTTTGCTTCTTGGCAACGCCGGCATGGGGAAAACAACTCTGATAAAGAAGCTGTGTTTCGACTGGTCAAAAAACTGCCTTCCTCAGTTTGACTTTGTCTTTCTGTTAGATGGCAAAGGACTCATGCTAACCGAGCCTGTCTTTAGCCTTCAGACGCTCCTCCTTGGCTTCTCCTCTATTGCCCCCTCCTGCAGGGACCCTGAGGCAGTATACAGTCAAATCCTTGCTGCTCCCAAACGCGTTCTCATCATTTTTGATGGGTTTGACGAGATGCGGGACTATGAAACTCTTCTACAAGCCCAGGAAAAAGACTTGATGGCATCATTGCAGAAGGACAACAAGGCACAGAGCTACACCGTAAAGCAGCTGTACTCTGCCATCCTCCAGAGAGTTCTCCTTCCAGGTAGCACTCTTCTGCTCACCGGCCGGCCGAGGGGCCCCGCTAACCAGATACTGCGGCGTGTAGACAGTGTCCTGGAGGTGTGTGGCTTCACCCCACTAAACGTGGAGACATACTTGTCCCAGTACTTCTCGGACCCTGCGCTCAGAGCATCTGCTCTGGACTGCCTACGCAGCAGCAGCTACATACGTCTCCTCTGCTGGAACCCGGGACTGTGTCGGTTGGTTTGTACGGTCCTGGAGGAGTCCAGAGATCCTGAGGACCTACCGCAAACTTTGACCGGGCTCTGTCACCGTGTTCTCTGTCTGAAAATGGAAAAAAAACGAGGGTCACACAGCGAAGAACAGATGCAAGGCCCTCACCAATCAGTGCAAGAAATGGACATTTCAGACCTCTCTCAAGTTAGGGGGACTCACATAAATGACCAGACGACGTCCAGGCCAAACAGGTGCGCTTCATCTCGCAACCAAAGAGAAAGCAGGGCGAAGGAGAAACCTGGAGACAAAGAGGATGAGGAGAACGTTGGCGAGGGAGTGGAGACTGCAGAGAGCAAAGAGCTGCTGGCACGGCTGGGCTCTTTAGCCTGGGAGGGAGTCAAAGCCAACTCCTCCATCCTTCCATCAGGACGGGGGAGATCTTCCAAACTAGACGCTTTTGCTGTCAGAACAGGCCTCCTCCATTCTCAGAACCTGAGGACTAGGCCTCTGGTGCCTAAAGATGAGTGGGAGGGTGGAGGGAGAGAAGACAACAATAAGGCAGACGGAGAGGAAAGGGAGCTCAACGATATCACCAGAGACACAGAAATCGTTGTCAACTGCGGCAAACAAATCCTGCTCTGGGCCAATCCTTTTCTTCAGAGTTACATGGCTGCGCTCCATTTGTCATTTTCAAGGTAAAAAAATTACTCACATCTCGTTTCAGAGCTTTTCCTCTCAGGGGGCAGAATCTTTGGTTCTTTTGGGTGTGTCGTTGGAGGAAAAGCAAACATTCAGAGCCTCTTTTGTTTTTGTTTCACTTTCAGTAAAGCTTCTTTATTTATTTCAACCACCATAACTTTCTATTTCCACAGAACTATGTCGGAGCGCTCCTTTCTCCAGACCCTGCCTTTCCAGACAGGAGCAAAAGGCCGCCGGCGACCTCAGAGGGAGGAGCTTGAACTCACTCAGCGATTTACAGTCGGTCTCTTGTTCCACAAGAGGACAGAGCTGCAGAGGCTGTGTTCACTCACAGAGACAGCGTTCAGAGATATGGTGACGAACAAGCAGGCGTTAGTAACAAAACACCTGGGGAGTCTGTCCTACAGGGACCTGAGCTCCGCACAGGTCCTGGAAGCCTGCCACTGTGTCCACGAGGCGAGTTTTACACACGAGGAGATAGGCGTGGACTCTGGCAGCGCACGGCTGCTGACCCATCTGGCAGCTAATCTTCCAGAATCCCTGACATTTCACGGGGTCCCGCTCAGCCCCCCAGATGTGTTCACCGTGCAGACTGCTCTCAGGCGGGCGGGAGCCGAGGGTAGACGTTTCTGTTTGGACCTGGAAGACTCTGGGGTACAGATCTGTGGACTGAGGGCTCTGGTGGGCCTCGACAACATCAAAACATACAGGTAAAAAATGTATTAATTCATTTTTAAAAATGCCTTGTAAGGGGTTACGTCACAAAGCCGCTTCCTCAAATTGTCCAGTAAAGACAGAGACCTGTCTTAGGATAGGACTGCATACCTAAGCCACATAACATCTGCAGAGATAGAAAAAAAGAATGGTTTCTGTGTCTTTGTTGGGGATCGTGAGTATGAGAAAGACACTAATTGTTCTAACCCAGAGCCCAAAAGTGACTCATATGAAACCCCATATTGTCCTTGATGTCCACATCATTGCACAAACCTCTGATACCAGTGCCAGAACCTCTGAGACCAAGCCGTTGCATGTCCTTTAGGGCCTGCATTGCTGATGTCATCGGTTTGTGGGAGCAGCTGGAGGTGAGAGATGAAGACGAGCTCCTCCAAGCAGCGGTGTCCAAATTCAAGATCCACCCATTGAAAGCCACGCAGGTGTGTCATGTCGAGCACTTGGAAAAGCTGGTGAACATCCATTTGCACAAGAGGTGTCTGGACGGGTAAGGCAATACACAGCTCTGCACAGACGCACGCTGGTTCTCCATTTGAATGCCTAAGTGTTGGCTTTGTTTAACTGCAGCTCTGGACGATCAAATTATATCCTGGCCGACGGGGTACCGGCGGTCAAAGAGTTGCACAAGCTGGAATTTGAGTGAGTAGCTCCACCATTCGATATGAGAATGTAGATAGAGGACGACAATGGTAATAATACCACTGCCTCTCTCATAAGGCTCGGTCCAGAAAATGGTCCCTTGGCTCTCCCTAAGCTATGGGATATCCTGCCCGGGCTGCAAAATCTACAGCACTTGGAGTAAGTGTGCCCAGCTTCACTTCCAGTTTTCTTTCTCTGTTTATGAGATGTCAGCCTCGTATCTAACAGTCTCTCTTGCTATTTGTTCAGTCTAGAGAAAAGTAAGATTGGGGACAAAGGAGCAGAGAAACTGGCGACTGCAGTAGCATTTCTTCACTCTCTGGAGATACTGAAGTCAGTACAGGTTTAACCTTTTTGTTCCCCAAAAGTCTTCTGTTTTGGTTTTTAATGTGATTGATCTAACAATGTTTTTCTCTGTTTGATCTTCAGTCTGTCACAAAATTGTATCGGAGACCAGGGAGTAACAAAGTTGTCCCTTACGTTAAAGGACCTGCCCAGACTTCACTGTTTAAGGTAGATAATGTCATCTTATGCACACATAAATCAACACAAATGTAAATACCTATAAAGCTATAGCTGTAAATGGCTGCACCACTCGAAAACCATGAATCTTCACTTCCCTTTTTGCCTTTCGCAGTCTTTACAGCAATGTGATTTCTGACGAAGGGGCAGAGAGTTTAGCAGCCGTCCTCCCACACATGCCTTCTCTCTCAGACCTTGAGTAAGTTGATTATATTAGTATAATCAAGTATATCATATCATTACATACTATTATGTAGATTGAAAAACCACATGAATACAATGACATCAGCTACCTAAAAAGATTCCAGTTGGTTTGTTTGTCCACTGAAATAATCTAAAATCAATTTTTATTTTATTTTTCCTCCTCCTCTTTGTCATTGTGTTTGACAGTGTGAAGTACAACAAACTGACAGATGTTGGCGCACACAGCTTGGGAGCCAGTTTGAAAAACTGCAATAAAATGAAAACTTTGCGGTGAGCTCCCGTGTCTTAAAACTTAAGAATAACAATTTTTTCCAAACCTTTTGTTTTTTCTTAACTTGTTTTTACCTCCCCTATCACAGGATGTGGAATCAATGTATTCCATATGGAGTTTTTGAGCGACTTCAGCAGCAGGACAGCCGCATCCTTTGGCATTAAATGATCACAGCTGCTACTCTTTACTATCAGGCCATCATATTTCTGATAAATGAACACTACTCAATTAGTTTCCTGCAGAATGTGTGCTCTTAAGAGCACGCAACATCAACAAATATGAAGCATATAGAAGAGCCTCCACTACAGTAATCGAATCTCTGCTATACCCATCAGGTGAATTAATGAAATCCAAGTGTACTTGAACACAGCACTGCCTGTGTGTAATGCTCTGAGCAAACTCAACAAGCAACTTTGCACTACTATGTTTGATGATGTTTTAATTGTACCATATTTTTGTACAGGTTACATAAAAGGTCATTTGTTTCTTCTTTTTATTTTTATCCGACTATCCAAATTATTTTTCTTAGCTATTTGTTTAGCTGTAAATCATAGGCTGCTTATTTATGATAAATGGGGTGTCTGATGTTGCCAACAAGACTTCTATGTTCTTTTTTTCTACAATTACTTTGGGTTATTTTAAACTCAACCATTTCACTTCCTTTGCTGCATGTTTCTGTTCTCCATTTTCATGGCCGCTGCATTCCACAGTGTTTGTCTGTCTGCCATGCTGCATAATAAAGATGTCCTCTTCCTGTAAGGTGCTGAGGAGTCGATTTGTCACCATTTATTTTCAACATTATGTAGGTTTGTGTCATGTACACAAATTCAATGTCTGTCAAAACATTGAAATGTTCATTTCTATTTAATTTTTTAACTTCCCCCACTTGAGACGTTCTGTTTTCTATTTTTGTTTGTGAGCGCGTCTGTCGACCAGCTCCCTCTGGCGTACTCTCGGTGGATTAGCAGATACAGAGCAACCCATGAACTGTTGTTGTCACTTGTAAACACAGATGTCTTGCAAAGTACAAAACGAGCTCTACCCTCTGCTGAAGTTGTGCTAACATGAGGCTCCTCCCCTGGAATGCACCGGGTCACTCTTGTGATGAAACGGGACAAGGCCCCAACACAGCACTGATAAACATTTACATTCAAGGTAACATTTTTCACAATTCATGGCTTTTTGGTGCACACACATGTCTGCCAAGAGAAAAGTGTGGAGGGATGGGGCACATGCTGCATGCAGGCTGGACACTGGTGATGGTTAGAGTTGATCAGACGCTGAGTGGCACAGTGGGATGCCATGTCTGAGCCACAGCACCCTTCAATTTCTGCAATTAATTGTTTATTCTAAAGCTGATGACATTTTTTGTGTTTGTTGGTTTCCAGTCACTTTGTTGCTGTGACCACAACTGATGGCCAAGCATGCAGAACCACATGTTTTTTTGTTTGTTGGTTTGTTTTTCAAGACATGTACTTCCCCGGATTCCCACATCCTTAATTGACTTTTATCACTGCCTTTAAGCTGTATTAAATCAGTGACTATGTAACAAATCACTTGCCGCCACATTTTGACCTGCCCAGCACTGCACCCTTGTGGTAACTCAGCTCCATCCCCTTATCAGCTCGTGTTTACAGGAATTTTCTTTTGCTTTGTGTATTGCCAAATGGTAGGTACTTACATCTGGGTATGCAATCTTATCCAGAAAAAATGCCTCTGTTGACTCTACAGCAGAACTTGTTGTTATCATGGCTTCAATGTCATCGCATATTTCTCACTTGGATTCACGGTTCCAACATTTATGAGTTCTACTGTCAAGTCAAGTGGCTTTATTGTCAATTTCTTTACATGCGCTGGTCATACAAAGAATTGAAATTGCGTTTCTTGCTTTCCCATGCGGACATAGACATAGACTTTAGGTGTGGAAAATTATGTGATATAGTAAATATAAAGTGATAAATTGTGATGCGCAATATTTGCAATACAGTCATTCAAGTAACAGGCATGAAGAAAGCAGCAGCGTGCATGTGTGTGTTAGTGTGTATATGTGAGTGTAGGTATGTTTTTTAGTTGGTTCGGTGTGTGTGGATGCGCTTTTGAGTCAAGTGAGTGTGTACTGTATGTGTGTGTGTGTTGAGTCAGTCCAGTGTGTGTGTGTGTTTTGAGTTAGTGCAAGTAGAATGGGCTATTTCAGTGTTAAGGGGGGGGGGGGGGGGGGGGATGAGGGGTGGGTTAAGTGTTCAGCACTCTGATTGCTTGGTGTGTGAAGCTCTTTGCCAGCCTGGTGGTACGGAGCGGAGGAGAACATATTTGTATACTTTCCCGTTCAAGACTCTCTGAAAATTGAGGTTCATTTGAAAATTAGCCTTCCATTCATTTTATGCTGACTCATTTTACAAAGATAACATGAGTCATCAATATTATTATGACGTCAGACGCACCGTGTCGTCATT